ATTCATAACACATTCAAGACGCATTTTAAAGACTTTACTGATCTAACTTTGCATGCCCTAACAACACTAATAGATTTCACTTATTTAATTAAATAATTAAAAACACTCACGGTTTTTGTGTCCAAGGGTCATAATCCGGTCCATGTCGTCAGCATTGTTTACCACATATCCAGAAAGATCCTTGATGTAAACTCCTACATCAGGTCTCTCCTTGACCTGCATTTTGAGTTTAGTATTCATCATCATTTGCAGAAATTTGCCTTTACATTCCCAAGTTGCACAACAAATGGCACTGCCTTATTTCAATGATCCAAGCTTTAGTTAAGTCAGACTTCCTCAATAACAATAAAACGAGTCTTATAAGGCTACAAATTCAAAAGACTGGGGTCAGTAAGATTTTCTAGAAAGAAATTAATACTTTTATTCAGGAAGGACCAATTAAACTGATCAATAGTGACTCTAAAGTGACATTTATAATGTTACAAAATGTATACATTTCAAATAAATGCTGTTATTTTCTATTTATCAAAGAATCTTGAAGAAAAAAAAAAAAAACAGTACAATTTTCCACAAAAATATTAAGCACCACAACTGTTTCCAACATGAGCAGCAGCAAATCAGCATATTAAGAATGATTTCTGAAGGATCATGTGACACTGAAGACTGGAGTAATGATGCTGAATATTCAGCTTTGATCATAGAAATAAGTTATATTTTAAAAGATATTATAGAAATAGGTAATCCCCCCCTCCCCCCTAGAAAGAACTACATTCCAATTTGTAGCTGCAAGCATTATCAAAAAATATCAAATACAGAAACATATTTAATAAACAATCCCACTAAGAGTGTGTGAGATGTGGAATTTTTGAATGATCATATTCTGTTCGATGTGTTGAAATTCTACAGAAACTGCCGCAGTTTTCTGTAGAATTCTGTGGGTGCATATACCATGCGGATGTATGCATTAGTCAAACGCTTCATGACCTATATTGGAGTGTCCGATTAACGACACACCTAATGAGTGCAATAAAGGGAAACCGAGAAGCTCTCAACTTTTAGATATGATGAAACATGCTGGTTTCTCACCTCCAGCCTCTGCATCTGGTCCTTTCCTAACAGGTCTCTCACCTCCTCATTGTATATTTCCAAATATGAAACTCTTACCAGAAACCTGTCACATAACACAGTTTATCTCAACACTCTGCACGTCTCTGATAATTTTCTTGTATCATGGAAAAACATGACAAATGGTAAGCATCTCCATGATTAATCATGGGAAATCACGCTGACAAAGAACACACTGACCTCTGAACAGCACAGCATTAAAAAAAAAACAATCCCCATTCTCACCTGGTGTCTCCTTCTGCTTTTGCAATGTGACCAAATACATGAGCGAATGAATTTGGGATGATTCCTCTGAGTTCAGGCACTGCCCTGACACCCTCCATAGTGAACGTCTTCCCTGTGCCTGTCTGGCCGTATGCAAATATGGTTCCTGAAAAACAAAAAAACAATTATAAAAATGTAATCTTCAACATTTCAAACTTGCAAAAACAGTCAAATAGATAAAAGGTGAAGACATATGCGCTAGATCTCTCTATTGACTTACCATTGTAACCCTCTAACACGGAGTCAATAATAGGTCGAGCTGTTAAATTGTACACATCCAGCTGTTTACTGTCTGGACCGAACACTGTGTCGAAGGTGAACGTCTTTGGCGGCTCACTAGTCATTTCAAGTTTGTTCACAGTAATCGTTCCCCGGATCTCGTCCACGGCGACGGCCTGCTTGTGTGCCATCATCTTCTCCTTCTCGTTGAGGGGTCGACATCTCACCACCACCTTCACATTATCACTCACCTCCACCTTCTCTGGTTTATCCAGCTTATTACTCTGGACCAACAGAAACCGGTTTGACAGAGTTAGTGCGGAAGAATCTGTTTGTCAGCACAATGACATTCAGCCATAAAAAAGTGAAAATCCATCACAAAATTATTTAAAAAATATATGAAATTATTTTTAGAGTAAAACATTTTTTACACAAAAATACAACTACCCTTTAGTTGTGGCATAATTTCTAACAATGGTGTCCTTAAGTACAACTGCTGATCAACAGTTTGGGATCATTAAGATTTTTTATATTTTTGAAAGAAGTCTCTTCTGCTCATCAAGGCTGCATTTACTTGCCCAAAAATACTGAAAAAAACAGTAATATTGTAAAATATTATTATTATTTAAAATAACGGTTTTCTATTTTAATATAATTTAAAATGTAATTTATTCCTGTGATATAAAGCTGAATTTTCAGCATCATTACTTCTGTCTTCAGAAATCATTCTAATATGCTGATTTATTATCAATGTTGGAAACAGTTGTGCTGCTTAATATTTTTTTGGAACCTGTAATACTTTTTTACTTTTATTTGATGAATAAAGTTAAAAAGAACAGCATTTATATAAAATAGAAATCTTTTCTAACAATATAAGTCTGTATTATCACGTTTTATCAACTTAACACATCCTTGCTGAATTAAAGCATTAATTTATTTCAACAAAAAATAAAATTACTGACCCCAAACTTATATTGTTACAAAAGATTTCGATTTTGAATAAATACTGTTGTTTTTAACTTTATTCATCAAATAATCCAGAAGTATCACAGGTTCCAAAAAAAAATATTAAACAAAACCTGTTTCCAATATTGATAATAAATCAGCATATCAGAATGCTTTCTGAAGATCATGTGACGCTGAAGACTGCAGTAATGATGCTGAAAATACAGCTGCGCATCACAGAAATAAATTATACTTTAAAGTATTTTAAAATAGGAAAAGCATTATTTTAAATTGTAATAATATTTCGGAATATTACTGTTAAATGCAGCCTTGATGCACAGAAGAGACTTCTTTAAAACACATTTCAAATCTTACTGATTCCAGGCAGTGTGTGTTTACAAGCACAGTGTCTGTGAGAGGAGTATGCAAATGAGCAGAATATTTAATGCTGCACGATTATAGTCAACTCCAACGAATCTTTGTTAAATTATGTAAACAAAAAAATGTCTATGTGGCATAAATTAAAAAAAAAATTGTTTTTTTTTTTCATGAGCTAATATTAAATCTAGTGACAGATATCTTCTGCTGTGCTTGTGTGTTCACTGCTGGACATCGTTAGCAGACAAATGCAATAATCTAAAGATCTTAAAGTCACAGAACACCACGCCAAATGTGCTCATAAGTAAAAAATTATGGCTTTTCATGCGTGAGCTATGGGTGCTTAATGGGTAGCCTTTACTGTAAAGGTCATTGGATGATGCAAGTACATGATAGGTGGGGTCATCTGTTGTAACATAATTTCTCATTAATCTCAATAAAGTGAGAGGTCATACTGAGCTTTTGCTATGAAGCTAATAACTAGCAGGCAGCTAGCTTGATGTGCACAAAACAGCTCAAGTCATCCAAAGGACAAAAGCATCGCATAATAATTAAATGCATCATAGAATTGATCAATAAGACAAACGCTCGGTAGAAACCGCTGTCTAATAACAGTCTGAGATGAGATTGCGGTAGCAAAGCAAAGGAATGATAAGAAGGTGGGGCGTAAACACACACATTACACAGCGATAAATGAAGATAAGAGATTAGAATCTTACCGGCATTTTCAGAATCGGATATATGGCGCTTTATTAGAAGCTAAATTAACGGGGTTTCGTCTGGAATGATAATCGATGAGCTCATTCGGGTGGATGATGTATTTTTCCAGCTCACGGGCGCATCCCAACCTGAGTTTACCGCGCATGCGCGCCAATGCATGCTCTGATCTCACATATCTATGGATATCAGAAAACACATTTCATCACACCAAATACACAAAATAATGTTCTTTTTAGCAGCATCATATGACCCCTTTCACCTTTGATGCATGGTATGCATTATTTTCTAACTATGAAATATTTTTTCAAATAAGTTTTTATTATATGAAATAGCTTCAGTCATACAAATCAAAACAGATAAATAAAAAAAAAACTTGAGAAGAGATGTTTAGAAATGAGGTTAATAGAGTAATTTCTGGAGCACTTCAGCAGGTGTCTTCTGTTTGAGGGGGACCGTGGGAAGAACAGTTTTGGATGGACTTTTGCATGTCATGTGACTTAAAAACAGCACATATTAAGACCTGCCCTTTTAGTTCCCATAGTGCAATACATTGTATTTTTTCAGAATAAGAAGGAAATGAGTAGAAATTAATTCTTGCCATATGACAACTCTGTACCAAAGGGTTAAGAGCAAGTACTAGGTAGATTTCTTACAGTCCGTTACTGATTCCAAATTACATGCTAAAAACTAGTTAGTAACGTAATCCATTACACCCCTTTTGGGTAATATAATCAGACTACTATAATCTTGTACTATATTGATATAAAAATACAAAGAGAATGAAAATATATTCCATTCGTTCATTGTAATCTGGTTGTAATTGACAAGACGACGTGCATTATACTGTGTTTATAATGAAAAGCTAATAATTAAATCCTAAAAATGTAAAATTAAAAATAAATTATTTGAAAATAACAATCAAAACACTTACTAAAAAAGATGAAACTTTTTTGTTTACCTACATGTCACGTGACCATTAACCAGCCTCAGAGGACTGTTAACATGCAAATGTGTTACTGAATTATTAACTTATTACTTTAAAATCTCAGAGGGGACTTTAAGTAAATATATTAGGTGAAAGAGGTTCGGCTGACAAAAGAAGTTTGGGAATGCCTGCATTGCATGTAGCTAAATAAGACGTGAATTTGTGCATTTTAAAGTGTTTGAAAGACAAAAGCCTTCCAAAGGCAAAGACTTGTGAATAATATGTAATCATGTAATAAATAAATGTAATCCAGATTACATGTAAAAAATAATACAATAGCCTTAAAAATCTTTTAATTGCTTAGTATTCTTATCATCCGTTTTTTCAATCTGATTATCATCAGTGTTATCCCATTGTCACGGAATTATACATGTTTTAGTTCTGCTTCAGTCTGTATTCTCTGATATGACAATCGATTAATGTGATTAGAGCCGGGCTGGTTGTTGATCAGTACTGGCTTCATATTTAACGAGAGGCAGTCCATAGAAGCATGATCCGGGCCTGCGCTCTTTCTGGGTACGAGTGTTTTTGTGTCTTTAAGAACTAATGTACTTCCATCCCGACCCAAGATGGCTGAAGGGTTCCAGTGGTCCAGAGCCGAAAGACCAGGCTGGGAACTAGAGATTTGTCCTGCAGATGCCATTTTTGATGTCTGAGGAGCATCATGAGTCAGGAACCGCACTGACTTTACTGGCTAAAAGAACAACAACAAAACATGCCGATGTAATTCAATTGAATATTTGTGAGCATTTGAGAGTGAACTATCCCATTAAATCCTAAATCATCACAACTCTTAGCCCTAAAACGCTTGCAGGAGCTGTTTTACCTTCTCTGTATTGTGCTTATGAGCGTCTGGTTTGACCAGAATGGACTGAGGCGCTGCGGTGGCCTCTTTCTGGACCGGGTCCCTGCTGACCGTTTGATATCCACCAGCAGAGGGAGCTGTGGTTTCATATGCCCAATGCTGCACCTTCATAGGGTTCGAGAACAAACCGTTTCTCTTTTTGGGAAGCACAGGTGAACGACCGAAAGTATAGATCTGCCCCAAATCCTGAGGTGGAGGCTGAAGGCTTACGATGGAATTTGAATTGTAGTTTCCGTGATGAGGCAAGCCTAAACAAAAGGCAGAGCAGAAATGAATCAGCCCACCAGACTGACTAATTTCTGTGTGTCACCTAAACCTAAAAATATATGAAGAGAGAATAATGACCCTATATAAATGTTCTAATCTAAATGAACTGAAAATGATTGTACATATTTTTAAATTGAAAGAAGTCTCTTATGCTCACCAAGACTTCATTTATTTGATCAAAAATACTGTTTAAACAGTAATATTGTCAACTTTTATACATATATATATATATATTTGAAAATGTAATTTATTGCTGTGATCAAAGCTGAATTTTCAGCATCATTACTCCAGTCTTCAGTGTCACACGATCCTTCAGATTTGATGCTCAAAAAACTCACATCTCATTATGTTGAAAACAGTTGTGCGGCTTCATATTTTTGTGGAAACGGTGACACATTTTTTCTTTCAGGATTCTTTGATGAATAGAACGTTCAAAAGAACAGCATTTATTAACAGAAACATTCTGTAACATTATAAATGTGTTTACTGTCACATTTGATCAATCTATTGTGTTCTTGCTGAATAAAAGTATTTTTTCCCCTAAACTTTTAAACGGTAAATGGTTTTCATAAAAATGTTAAGCAGCAAAAATGGTTTTTAACATTGATAATAATCAGAAATGTTTCTTGAGCAGCAGATCAGCATATTAGAATGATTTCTGAAGGATCATGTGACACTGAAGACTGGAGTAATGCTGCTGAAAATTCAGCTTTGATCACAGGAATAAATTACATTTGAAAATAAATTTGAATATAATACAGTAATTTTACATTTAAAAAATATTTTACAATATTACTGCATTTTTTTAAATAAAAAAATGCAGCCTTGGTGAGCAGAAGAGATATATAAAATAAAAAAAACATAGTGTATCTTGGCTTAAAATGTCAAAATGTATAAATAAAACACAAGTTGGACTAGTTTTTCCAAATAGAACAGTTGCAAGCGCAACTTATTGATTTATTTTGTCACAGCGTGTCGGGCTCGTTGGCTCTCACCCCTGTGTGTGGTGTGGAGGGTGCGTCTCACTGTGCTCCATCCCTGTTTTCCACCCAGCTGCGGCGCTCTCCCAGGACTGGCAGATTGCATCAAAGCCATTGTAGTTGAAGGAGTGTCTGCGTTTACTTTGTCTAGGGCCAGGACAACAGCTTGCGGCTTGTGTGGGGTGTGGCGTTTTGTTGACACTGTACTTGTATTAGGAATGGCAGGTTTGGTTTGTTCAAGAAACCTTGCAGATGTTCTGTGGGAAAGTCAGAATATTACTGTAACCTTGATTATCAAGATAATAAGTGCTTGTAAAACTAAAACGGTTCTGATTAGAACTAAAAAAGCATGCACTGTGAATTGCATTAAAGAAACTGATCTGAAGAGCCCATCAATATTTTTAACAGTGTGTTTAAGATATTAAATAATGTACAGACAGAGTAGGGGTGTGCGATAATATCGTAACTGTTGTTTTAACGATAGGCCTATGTTAGCCGACACTATGAGTATGTCATTCACTTTGCAAAAAACAAACAAAAACACATCTTGAGAGTCCAAAAGCATTCACTGCATGATGAAGCCTATTAGAATGCAGTTAAAATTACCCTATAATTCAAGTTATGAAAGCAAGAACTATCCCTGTATGGGTTTCAACAGTTCAGCAAACAAGAAGTTATTATTGAGTAACATTTTAGATACAATATTGTCTGTTTTTTTCTGTTTCGACAACGAAAATAGTTCCAAACAGAGCCGGAGCAGAACATTTGTGCGTTTTGAATGTTTTTGAACGAATCAATTGAGTCAATGATTCAATGACACTTTCAAAAAGACAATCACTTGCTTTGTTTCTAAATGAGTCAGCCGTTTTGAATGAATCGTTTGAACGAATGATTCAATGAATCACTCATTACAACGGGGACTTTCTGCCACCTACTGGCAGTTTTAGTGTCATATTTATTTATCCATAACCTTAAACCAGCGTAAAAAACACACTCAGCAATATATTGTTTAATTATTGTTATAAAAAAAATCCCAATAAATATAAAAATATAATTTTTTGTCAATATCGCACACCGCTAGTAAGGAGATTAAGCAGCAAAGTATTGGAAGCATGTTTTGTAGAAGTGTTGTTACTGTATGTAACCCATCTGTACTATGAATTGTACTTCTGCTCACCTGAGCACAGGTGTAACATAGTTAGCCGGCAGGATCCCTACTTTGCCTGTTCTGAGAGACAGTCCACGCAGCCAGCCCTCTTTGAATTTCCCATAAACCCCCACCATTTCACCCTTCCTCAGTTCCAGCTCCTCAGAGTGATGAGGCGTATAGGAATACAGCGCCGCACACCTAAACATATCAAGTAGTTCAAAAATGAAAATGCTGCCATTATTTACTCACGCAAACCCATACTTTGACATATGAGGGGGAAAATCAATGTAAAGATTCTTCATAAACACATTAAGATATACAAATTTAAAATTGTTTAGCTTTAATTCAAGAAAATCTTTTAGATGATCATCAAAGATACATATGATCCCAGAAACACTTACACACTGATGGAGAGCTGCTGGGTGGCAGACATCTTGCTCTCTGACGGCAGGGGGGACGCCTGAGGGTTAATCAGTGCCATGGTGATGGTCGGCGGACTTTCACCACTCATTGTTCTGTCTCTCTGTAATAGTCAGAAAGTAACTGGTAATTTTCTTATCTTTGCGCAGACACTGACAGCAATGTAATCTCTTCAGTACAAGTGTAGAACAGATTTGTTGAACTCCAAACATCCATGCTTATGTAGCCTTCTGATAACATATGTTGAATAATAGTAGTAAAGTTTTCAATAACTTTATGAAAACTAATTAACAAAACAAAGACACAAAGTAAGACAAGAGGAAAAAATAAGGCAAGACAAAAACAAAATAAATAAAAAAAGACAAGACTAAACAAAAGGCAAAAACAAAGCAAAACAAAAAACATGATGGGCAAAACAAAATAAAAAAGATGACAAAAAACAAAGCAAAAACAAGATAAACAAAACACAAGAATAAAAACAACACAAAATGAGCAACATCAAAATAAACAAAGACCAGACTAAAAACAAAAGGCAAAACCAAGCAAAACTAAAACAAGCTAAAACAAAAAAGACTAAAAACAAAGCAAAACTAAATAAACAAAAGACTAAAAAAATGACAAAAACGAAGCAAAACAAAAAACAAGACAAGACAAAAATAAAATTAACAAAAGACAAGACTAAAACAAACACAAAAACCAACCCAAAACAAAAAACAAGGTGACAAAAACAAAATTAAACAAAAGACAAGACTAAAAACAAAGCAAAAAAGCTATGGGGACGGTATACCCATGCCACCATGCTGAGGGGAGTGCATGCCAGAACCATGGCGAGCACTAAGTACCAACTCTACCATATTGCTATGGAAGTCACCCCTGGGACGTTAGACGGCTGTCAGTGACATTATTCCCTACGGCCAAAGGCCTATGCTACATACCCCAAATACTTACCTGTTAGGGCCAGACTCCTGGGCCCGGGGTAGAGCTCAAGGCTTGGAATCAGGAATAGATTCCTTTAAGGGAATACGACCAAGAGCCTAGAATCATACTAGTCTTGGCCTGTCACACAGGGGCTACCGCGCTTTCTCTTTGTATGTGCTGAAGGAACTGTGTCAGACCCCTAGTAGCAACACCCTGTTAAAGTAGGTATCCAGAGGATACACGTGACCCGTGTCTGAAGCATACATTGAAAAAACACCAACTCGTTGGCCGGCGACAGCCATGACGTCACTACCGGTGCGACTACAGTATAAATCGGTGCCGGGAGCTACACATCGTTCACTTCTTCGTCTGAAGCTTGCGTCCGCAGCATGGCAAGAAACCTAGAGGACGCAGTGTCTCGTTCCCTACTCAGGGAACCATGGTTACATAAGTAACCTGAGACGTTCCCTTTCATGGGAACTTCGAACTGCGTCCTCTAGGGGTCGCTATGGGGAACGGTATACCCACGCCGCCATGCTGAGGGGAGTGCAAGCCAGAACCATGGCGAGCACTAAGAACCAACTCTACCATATTGCTATGGGAGTTGCCCCTGGGACGTTTAGACGGCTGTCAGTGACGTTATTCCCTACGGCCAAAGGCCTAGGCTACATACCCCAAACTACTTACCTGTTAGGGCCAGACTCCTGGGCCCGGGGTAGAGCTCAAGGCTTGGAATCAGAAACAGATTCCTTTAAGGGAATACGACCAAGAGCCTAGAATCATACTAGTCTTGGTCTGTCACACAGGGGCTACCGCACGTTTGTCTTGTGGTGAAGGAACTGTCTCAACAGATCCTTAGTAGCAATACCCTGTTAAGTAGGTATCCAGAGGATACATAGGGGGAGTGGTGCCCAAGGCAGAACCGGGGTTTTAAACCACTCAAAAAGAGCACGAAGTCTTGCGCGTAGCTCTTACCATACAGGATTTTTAGAAAAGTGGGCAAAGCATAACGTGCACACTTACCACTTATGTGGATTTTAGAAAAGTGGGCAAAGCATAACGTGCACACTTACCACTTATGTGGATTTTAGAAAAGTGGGCAAAGCATAACGTGCACACTTACCACTTATGTGGATTTTAGAAAAGTGGGCAAAGCATAACGTGCACTACACTTGCATACCGTTCTAGGGGTTTCTCGTGGCACCCTGAAAAGGCAGCCTATAGATAAAAATAGCGTATCCCCAGACGCTATATCTACGGCTATAATGCTGGAGTGGCTAGCAGTAAATCTGTAGCTGGGGGAGAACATCCAGCTCTTAATGGAGAGGGAGCTCAACCTACAGCATGTTCCCATGGTGGAACAGCTAGCAGTTATTCAGCTGAGGGAGCAACACACTCAGTTCTCAAACCGAGACGGGGCTCGACCTGCAGCATGTTCCGCACTGGAACAGCTAGCAATAGTTTACTTAGCTGTGGGGGCAACACACCTAGTTCTCAGTCGAGAAGGGGGCTCGGCCTACAGCATGTTCCAATGCAGGAACGCTAGCAGTAGTTTACCTTGGCTGAGGGAGCACAAACCCAGCTCTCAACGAGCGGGGGGGGGGGGCTCGACCTGCAGCATGATTGAAAATCAGAGGGGTAAGCATACTGCAGTCTAGCCAAACTCTCATTCAGGTAACCCTTTGATAAAAGGGGAGCATTGTCTCAATACTACCATGAGGACAGCCCATGGAGCGAGGAATCTAACTCCTCAGAGAGGATTAACGCTCGAAAGAGACATCATACTCACAATAACCCTCAATGGTGAGGGGGGTTGATGCCTCAAGGGGATATCCTGGTGATCGGGAAAAACCCCTCAGGGCGACCCGGATACGGTAGACCAGTCAGGGTAGCATGAAAGCGTAAACCCCAGCCTGGACGTCCAGGAAATTCTTTGCAGTGACACCGGGGGCCTGATAATCACAAAACTCCCGCAGAAGCCTGTGTTATGGCCGCATGATCCAGGAAGTATGAAACCTTACTTACCTTCTGGACATATCTCGACGAGTGAGTTTATAAACACTGCAAGTCGAGCACCCGGTTTCTGACCCCAGCACGGGAAACACTGCAAAGAAACTAGCAGAAGGGTACACACAACCACCAGTTTCATAGCACATACATATATTTATATACATATATTTAGACATGGATCGTACTCACCCACCACGGCTCCCGCGTTGGAGCTCTGTCCGGAAAGCCTCTAGACCGGACCTTCAGTAAGGTGGTTACTATGATAACCATAGAACCAACCAAAACATCATAGGTCCAGAAGGAGACTGTTATGCAGGAAGCTTCCACCTGACCTCGGTCAGGTGGCGATATGGTGGTTACAGGGGAATTAGGAAGGGGAAGAAAGGGGTAGATGTTACACCCCCTGAGGGAAAGAGTGGATACCTAAGTATTACTCTGATCCGGACGAAAGCTCTGACGCCTTGTCTGGATCACATCCCTCAGGTCTTGCCTACCTCCCTTCGACCCACGATACTTCCTACCCCTACCCGCAGGCGGAGGAGGAGCGCGAGTCGCGACACTAGCCTTCTGTGCTCGTCTCTGATCCTCAAATCGAGACGGGCCAGGACCCCTGGTTTGTTCGGGCTCAGACCTGGACCTTCGTGGAATGAAGGTTTTGAAGGCCGCTGAGCGTGCCTTCGCCTCCCTGAACTTTTCGATGACCGTCTCAACGGATGTACCAAAAAGTTCAGAGGGCGAAACCGGGGCATCGAGAAGAAAACCCCTTTCTTTCTTCCCGATGTCTGCCAGGTTTACCCACAGCTGCCTCTCCGTTACTACCATCGCTGCCATAGATCTGCCCATGGCAGAGGCAGCCTGCTTAGTAGCACGAAGAGCAAGATCCGTGGTGCGGCGTAACTCAGCCATCTCATCAGAAGAAAGGCCCTCGCCTTTATCCAGGTCTTTCAGCAGATCAGCCTGGTATGCTTGGAGCACCGCCATCGTGTGCAGTGAAGCAACAGCCTGACCTGCTGCTGCGTATGCCTTGCCATTCATTTTAGATGTAGCTTGAAGAGGCATGGATGGCAAGGAGGGAGTTTTGAGAGATGATGTCTCTCCCATAGAGAGATAGCTCGCTAGCGTCTCTTCTACAGGGGGCATTCTCTCATAGCCGTTTTCGCGCACCGCCTCGATATTCGCATAACTGGTATGCTGAAACCGATGGATGCGTGAGGAAAACGGCTTCTTCCATTCCTTCTCGATCTCCGTATGGAGATCAGGAAGGAAAGGAAGACTCACCTGAGCTGGAGGGTTATGGCCAGCAAGATAACGTTCGTCGAGACGACCTCGCGACGCCACTTCCTTAGTCCGCTTCCATGGCAAGTCAAGTCTTGCCGTGGCGCGACCCATAACCTCTAAGAGCTCATCATACGCAGGGCAGGAGGCTTGAGAAGGCTCAGCCTCAGCTTCTTCACTCTCATCATCCATTTCCTGCTCTTCCTGGGCTGAACCCAGCAGAGCACTGGCCCCTGGATCAGATGATGTTAAAGAGAGAACATCATCCTCCAGTGGCTGTCTCTCGCCCCCCGCCGATGAGCGCGAGAAGGAAAGCCCCTCTCTAAACTCATCGGCCAGGTCCACCTGAGATCCCCACGAGCTCATTCTCCTCCGTGCCTCAGCAGCGGAGGGTCCTGAACCGCGGGAAGCAGATGGCTGCCCCTCTTTACTTGAAAAGAGAGACAAACGAGAACGGAGTTTTTTCATTGGAAAAAACTCGCGATGCACGCAGATTGCCCCCTCGAGGACATCGCGTGCGTGCTCTTCGCCCAAACAAACAACACATAGATCGTGTGTGTCATCTGGTGTCAAATAGTGATGACACGGATGCACACACCTTCTAAATGCTCTGCTAGTGCTCGCCATAATGAACAGAGATAGCTCTTACTTTTTCCTTGGAAATGCACGCTTCAAACAGAACAGTCAATGAAGACGAAGAAGAGAATGATGTGTGCTCCCGGCGCCTATTTATACTATAGTTGCCCCGGTAGTGACGTCAAGGCTGTCGCCGGCCAACGAGTTGGTGTTTTTCAATGTATGCTTCAGACACGGGTCACGACGAGGCGTTCCCCATAGCGACCCCTAGAGGACGCAGTTCGAAGTTCCCATGAAAGGGAACAGCCTCAGACTGAGACTTTTCCAAAGCACTGATATCCAACAACTAATGGGCTCGTGGAAGAGAGTCTGGTCAGTTGAGTCATGAGTCTTCCTCCTAAACTAAGATCCAGTCTAAAATTAGTGCGTTATTAAAGCATGATGAAACGAGAGACCAATCTGTGAATTCTGTAACTTTGACAATTTCCACGCCTCTCTTAATCACTTACACCTACAGTATGTCCCATAATTATCTCAGAGAGAGCAGGTGATTACAGCTTAGTTACATCAGCACTGCCACAGAAGACACAGAAGGCCTAGACAGTTATACATTAACATGTTTTATTCAAAGCGACTTACAAATGAGAAATACAGCATAGGTGATTCCTCCTAGAGAGGCGGTAACATAAGAAGTGCTGCGATCCAAATTACATGTTAAAACTACCAGATAACTACAATAGAATAGAGCATGTATTTTAAGAGAGTCAGTTCGGTCCCGCAGTATATTGCACTGAAATCCTGGTGTAGCATTTACTTTGAAATACTTTTCACTCTTTCTTCAAATTCTTTTCACAATTTCATAAATAATTACAAAGATATGGCACATTGAATTAAACTTGAAATTTGGAGTAGAAAGACATAAAACATACTCCAAAAATCTTTAAAAAATAAATAAAATAAATAAATATATATATATATATAAAACATCCCTGTGTGGGTTTTATGTCTTTTATATTTATATAGTTAATAATATCACACAAGCAACAGCCATTTTCAAATCGCAAATGTGATATTAATTTTACACAACCGTATATATTCAAAAAACATGAATTTAATTGAGTGAGTTACATTTTAGACACAATATTGTCTGTTTTTTTCTGTTTCGCCCACAAAAATAGTTTAAATCAAAGCCGGATCAGAATATTTGTCTGTCTGAGAGTGTTTCCTTCCTGAATGAATCTGTTTGTGAATGAATCAATGATTCCAAGGAATGAATCCAAGGAATCACTCATTAAGACAGGAACTTGTCGCCACCTACTGGCAGTTTTAGTGTCATATTTATTTATCCATAATAGGCCTAAACCAGCCAAGGTACCAGTATTAAAACACACTCAGACAAAACATTTTTAATTATAGTTTTCGTAAAATCTCAATAAATATAGAGATATAATTTTTTGTCAATATCACACACCTCTACAGCACCTTCTGCAAAATCTTCTTTTGTGTTCCATTAAAGTAAGACGCTCATGACGTGACGGGTTTGCACCGGCGATGAGTAAATAATGACGTAATATTTATTTTTGGGTGAACTATTGCTTTAAATATTTTCTTTCCCATCAGAAAGACGCTGCTGAGTCAGAAACAGTGGGCATGTATCCTGTGGCTTCAGAGTGTTGCACAATCTGAAGAAAAAACACAAATAATGCACAAAATCCAGTGTTAACTGGCCCCTGGGTAGGTTGTAATATGAGTGACTCGTCTCTCCGTGATGTGATGTTCTCCTCGCCTTCTATTAATGACCCAGCTGATGGCAGGAGGAGAGAGAGAGTCACCGCTCAGTGGAGAGAAATGAGCCTTTCAACCAGATAAGAGGAAAGTGTTATGTAACCCTATATGAGTCATGAGCTTGATAACAGAGAATGGGGCATTTTTAGCTCTCAAACACACTGGCTTCCTCTCACACAGGAAAACATCTCATACTGACAGAGGAGAGAAATATTTACACCTGTTTTTGAGGGAAAAGTCAAGAAAATGCAAGAGGGAACAGCTCCTTTTAGGTGATTTCAGTGCATTATTTCTAATAAAATCAAACGTGTGACACCGACACAATCTTGTGAAGCGGGCACATTTGCATCACAGACACATTACGATATTATAATACTAGTTCCGTGTCTATACAAACACATCTCCGACTCATCGAATCCAAATAGGATGTTAAACTCACCATTTATAATTTAGTGTAGCTAAATCACTGCACTGAATGAAAAAAACGCATGCATGGCTAAAAAAAAATGCATGGCTAACTAATCGCATGTCTGCATAGCAAATAAACAGCCAATCATAATTCAAACAAACAGGGGCTGCTCACCTTAGGCAAGTTTCTGTGAGAGCTCCTCAGACGTGGCTTGTTAAACGTGGCGAGTTGTGGTGTCTTGCCGGAGGACGGCTGTGCGCTGGAGCTGATGTGAAGCGGCTGCTGGCTCTGGCTGAAGGGAGGATAGTTCAGGCTGTTCAGCAGACTGACATTTGGAGGCCTGGCCGACTTGTGAGACGCTCCAGCGATCCGCCTGGGGACGCAAGCATCGGCGTTGACCCTGCCGCCGCTCCGTGGGTGCGATTCCACCGAGTCTCTCCTTTTGCGTTTTTCCAGAAGCTCGTACGCCGCCGGATTCAGCTGCAACGGGAAAACACAAAGCAGTTTAAAAAGAAGCCGAGATGCACAATAAAGCCATGCTGGGTTGCATAAGTCCCTCTACCTGCTGCGTCTGAGTTTGTCAGAAAGAAAAGTGCTATTAGTCCCACCTGCTCGCCCTAAACTTCCTGTGTAAGTGGCAGCTGGAGCTGCCGATCGGAGGAGCGCGGCGTTACGATGGACTGGTGCAGCACATGTGGGCAGGAGAAGTGACGCTCCCCCTCTCTGTTCCCATGATGTGCTGCTCTGCCACCGAAGTAAAAGAAAGCATTACTGTGCCTTCACGCCTGGCTGCTCACCGCTGAGATGCCCGACCGGTGTTGAGAGCGAGGCTGCCTGTTTTATCTGCCTAACCTCAGATACAGCATTCCTATCTGGAGCTTGATTATCCGCTGGCACATGAAGTTCACTGGAGCAGCAGTGGTGGAAGAATGCACATCAGTCACAGGACTGCTGCGTCACAGATAGCAAGCTCACTAAAAGCTCGTTATCATGCTCCGTAAGTAGCTACCGCCACCATCAGCACTAAGTGATAAGGGCCTATTGTTCTGAATTTAACTGTGACATTAAACAGAGACGATTAGGGGACACTAAAAAGATTGGCAAGCAATGACGAAGATTTCACGTCACACTGTAATTTATGAGTGAAATATTTTTTTATTATTATTGCATAAAGTGCAAAATAGTCAAAAAAAATCTGGGTTTTAATTCCAAAATCAAAAGAATGATATTTTGCACAAAGAAGCCTATTGTTAGGATCATTACATTTTTGCTGTGACATTATTTTCATGACAATTAAGCAAATATTCTCCATTCTCAGTGGTCTAATCATTTTCTCATTACTGTAGTTGCTTAAATCAGGGGTCTTCGGGCTGTGGCGGCACTGCAGGGGTCTGCCAATTACTGTTTGATCTGAACTTTTGGTTACCGAAAATATGCAATAAGCAAAAATACAATATTAAGTTAACTTCAGCCAAAGCTCAAGTTAAAAAAACTAAAGTTCAGAAGTTCACTATTGCATTTAATCATTACATTGTTTGGAGCATAAGAGGGCAATTGGGATTATTTATTTTTTATTTATCTTATTAATGTATTTATTACAATTTATTTGTAAACTCAAAATGTTATGTACAACTATATGCACATCAATAATAAATATTTCAGGCATTTTCAATGTAATGTAAGCATCACAACAAAGTATGTGAATCAGGGTTATTGTAGTTAACTAAAACCATAAAAAACATATTTTCATTACTTGAAATAAGTTAAATAAAATATAAAACAACTTATTTAACAATTTATTTCAGCAAGTTTTCAAGGCAACATTTCTCAGTTTCATTTTCAGGTTAACTTGATGTACTAAAATAACTAAAACCGAAATGATTAAAAACTACAAAAATAACAAAAGACACAAAATTGCTAACAATTTTAACTAAAATTACCATGAAAATATTACAAAATAATATAATATTAAGTATTAACGAGAAGACTAAATAGTATCTCAGTGATACTAAAATAACACTGATGTAAATACAGTAATATTGTATACTTTGTGCAAGCTTTTATTAAAGTGCAATGCTTATTTTCATACAAATATGACAGAAAAAGGTTGAAGACTCCTGGTTTAAATTGCTAAACCGATTCGAATGTAGTTTTATTTATGCTCATTTTAAAATAATAATAAAAAACATTGTCCAATATTTTTGCAGTGCAGTGAAAATTTAAAAATAGACTTTTTACTTTATGCAAAATATTATTTCTTGTTTTATTATTTTATGATTATCTGGACATTTCTTTGGGAGATTCAACGTGTTTTGAAATCGAGAATAAAAGCCTGTTGTCTTACCTCTGTGAGCTCCAAAGGAAAAATCCCAACTTTGTCTCCAAGTTTGCCCTCGACCCAATTTTCATTCACTTGTTTAATAAGAGTAATGCTGTCTCCCTGCGAGGGGGAAGAGAGATAGGCATGTGTTAGGCTGCTGTGGGTGCAGGACGTCCCTGAAGACGTTTACTCGGCTTGAATCACTCTAAGCTGCAGGCTCATTACACCCTTTACTCGGCTCCAGACCCATTTGGACCATCTGCTCTCAGAAAAAAATATAAACACTGCAGGAAAATGTCCTTTAATGGATGCTGTGCCTGAGTCAGAACTGTTATATAATTCAAGTCCTGCGGTGTGACTAACAATACTGCTACATCACAGAGCCCAAAGAAGAGAGCTTTATTTGCTTCCCAGGTTCCACACTGAATCACAAAATTGAGGCAAGTAATACTAAACATGCTTATGTTCAACATACAATGGCCCCAAAAAGTATTTAGACACTTCACTCACACATACAAATCTAGGAATATAATTGAAGTGGCACTAAATAAAAAAATTTAAATAATCCCATGTTTCTTATGCTCCAATCAATGCTCCAAGAAATGCCGTTTCTGTTTTGGAATTAAAATAATAATAATAATAAAGGTAATTTTTATGATTTTTTAAATCTCACACTTCAGACTTTTTCTATAAAAGTCACAATGACATTTAAAAACAAAAACAAACAAACAGAATTTCAAGATGTAAACTCAGAATTCAGAGAAAAAAGTTAGAATTCTGAATTTATAACTCACAATTCTGACTTTTTTTCTCTGAATTACGAGAAACAAAGTTTGAATTGTGAGATATAACTCAAAAATGTAATTGTGAGAAAAACGTTACATTTACATGTTTTTATTCTGTGGCAGAAACGGGCTTCCATATTTTGTGGCTGTTAAAGTAGTTGCAAAGGTCATCACAAATATAGCTTAGAAAAGTGCAGTCTAGCATTATTGAGCAGATGGCACTTGCTTTGATGTTTTGTTAATGCAAACACATTTTTGATCACTTAAAGGGTTAGTTCACCCAAGAATGAAAATTATGTAATTAATTACTCACCCTCGTGTCGTTCAAACCCCGTAAGACCTTCGTTCATCTTCAGAACACAATTTAAGATATTTTTTGATGAACTCTGAGGGCTCTCTGACCCGCCCATAGACAGCAAGGGAACTACCACGATCAAGGTCCAGAAAAGTACCAAGATGATCGTCAAAGTAGTCTGTGTGACATCAGTGCTTCAACTGTAAATTTACGAAGCTACGAGAATACTTTTTTGTGCAAAGAAAACAAAAATAACGACTTTATTCCACATTTTCGTATCAGTAGAATAAAGTCGGAATAAAGTTATTTTCTCGTAGCTTCGTAACTTTACAGTTGAAGCACTGATGTCACACGGACTACTTTGTCGATCATCTTGGGACTTTTCTGGACCTTGATCGTGGTAGTTACCTTGCTGTCTATGGGCGGGTCAGAGAGCACTCACATTTCATCAAAAATATCTTAATTTGTGTTCCGAAGATGAACGAAGGTCTGACGGGTTTGGAACGACACGAAGGTGAGTAATTAATGACAGAATTTTCATTTTTGAGTGAACTAACCCTTTAAGTGTACAAATTTTTTTGTGGCCTCTTTACCAACCCAACTGAATTGTGGCAGTACATTGATTAAAGAAGAAGAAATCAAATGAAATGGGTAGGTCTATAAAGCACAGAGACGAGCCTTGAAGAAGTTTAAGCATTCCTTGCTGTCGTCCGTATCCAGACTGTTAGCATTGAAGTCATAAAGTGCTCTGCAGAGGGCCAGCGGCTGCGGCTGCGGCTGCGGCTGCGGCTGCGCACTTATGACCCGCACCACATCCACTGGAACCAGACCGCTGCTGTCTTTGCCTTCGCCATAATACCAGTTATCATCTACTCTCCAGCGCAGATGAATGATGCCACCTGACTTCATCGTCAGCTCTCCAGGTGCATTTCCCTGGAAATCATATAAAGCTTGAGCTTGCACCTGAAACAAATAAAAAATGCATAGGGAAGACTGTCAAGAACTTATCCTGATCATAACTCAAATAAAAATTATGAAGCCATTCTAGGGCCATTATATTTTTATATTGTGCCATTATTTTCATGACAATTAAATACATACTGTAATGCACACAAAAAAAAAGATATATCACTTGAATTATTACAAAAATTAAGCTTTCCATGTACAAAGGGGTTTTCAAAAATCAAAAAAATATAAAAGTTTAATACAGCTTTCATTTTTCCACCAAATATTAGAATGTATTCTGTTTCGTTTATTTTTTCTGAGACAAAAATAATGACTATCATACATGCATGTTTACCTTGATTTACAGCAGACACCCACTATAATGTCATTCAGTTTAACAATAGTTCATATACCAAAAAATCTGGTCAGGCAGATTAAGAACAAGAAACATTAGATGACATTAAAAGACTCTAAGGATCACAGTTCAGCCCCCCAAAAACTAACTCATTATCATTTTCAATCTTTACCAATCCTACTAAACCTATCCTTCAAACCACTACATTTCACTCTGCAAGAAGTTTTTAAACATTTAAAATATAAAATTTAGTATAATCACTTTTTCTTTTATATATTTTAATAAGTACAGGTCAGAATTAGCATGTTGTTTCATTTTTATATAAATATGCAGTATCTGTTATACATTATTTCACCCATATGTTGACAGCTTATTTTGACAATGGTATTCTAAACATTAAAGTAGACACTTTATTTGCATTTAATATGATTTCTATGTATATAAATAAATCACTTTTGTAAATTTAATTACAGAAGTGTAATTGTCTCGTATTTGACCCTAATATATATATATATATATATATTTTATTTTTATTTTTTCTGATATATGAGTATAAATAAAAGTACATTGAATTTTGTACAAAACATATCATAAAATAAGTTTAAGACCCCTGGTTTAAATTGTAAAACAGATCTGAAAGTACAGTTGAAGAATGCATTATGGTATACCTGTTGTATTTTTTTTTAATTTATGCTCTTTTTAATAATAATAAAAAGCTACATTGAATAGCTAAATAGATATTAGAAAAGTGAAACATTAATGCAAAAATATATATTAATAAAAAAATATTATTAGTTTATTTTTTCAAATAACACAGCATCTAACAGCGCTCTTTATTGTATATTATCTCTCAGTACTTCAAATGCACGTTTACTAAATCAGAGGCGTGGAATGAGAAACGCAGTGGGAAAAGTAAAGAAGTAAAGTTTCCCCAGAGCTCAAAAGCATCCCAAACTTTTAAACAGCATTACTGTTTGTGGCTGCAAATGCAATGGCATTTTTCCCAACTGAAATTCAAGTCCACCGACCTACTTAAACCAAACCAAGGCCCAGTGTGTTTCAATGGACATTGTTAAACACGCAGAGATAATGGGGCTCTTAAGCAAACTGACCTCCCATATAAGACAACACAAAAACCATACTGATATATTTAAATACACTGTACACAGTTCATCATGATTTACGCTGCACAGGATTATAGTTCTGTTGAAAAACAAACATCATGCTCGATCTGTTTAATGTGGCACGACCACAGACACGGTGTAATATGATACATACCGGAGAAAGTTTGGAAAATATTCATATTCTATATCAGAATAATAATAAATCGAATTCACATCACAACCCCAAAAAGATTCAAGCTTTTAATTCCGAAAGAAAAGCAAACAAGCCTAATCAAGCCTTAAGTGCATGTCACAAAAAACACTTAACAGCAGCTGCACAAAAAGACAAAGACTGCTTTTAAGTCAGTTCGTTATTCACGCTCTAATGCAACAAAAGCTCATGTCGTACTTCTTACCCCCTGTGTGTACTGCCCCGCTTTGGGCAGATCTTGAATGCGACTGCTTAAAAGGTCCTCCTGGACTGCAGAGCTGATATATCTGATGGATCTGTCCCTCGGTGCGCACAGCGGACCCCGTTCCTGGAGGCTCTCGAGGAGTCTCAGCAGCAGCGGGTTGGCAGGGAGCTCCTGCACTGATCCTGGAACAGCAGCTCTGCACTCTGGACAGCACATCTGATGAGGGTGTGAAGCCTCGTGCTGCTGAAGGCATGCCATGCAGAACGTGTGCTGGCACGGCAAGACCTTGGCAGACTCCTCCAAAGGCTCCATACACAAAGGACACTCCAACAGGTCCAAGACAGCCAGATCCTCCATCACTCCTCCAGCACACACACTTTTATAACATATTCAGAACTACTTTAGCCAAAAATACATATTAGACATCTTGGTAGCACTTTGATTTTACAGTCCTCTTACATACTATGTACGTAGGCTATTATAGTAATTACAATTACTAGGTAATAACTAGGTACTAATCCTAACCCTACCCCATAGTTACCTTATATTACCAGTTCTTAGGTAGGTACACTATAAGTAAGTGCATGTACGCTCACGTACTGTAAAATAAAGTGCAAACGACATCTTATTATATAATGATTTCTCACTGTAAACCTCGAGCTATGTACTTCCGTCAACACCTGTTCATTGTAATATGCAAATAGCCTAGGTGTGAACAGACGTAAATACAGTAAATACAGACACGAGCTTTGTAAAAAAAAAAAAATAGAATCTATATCTAATAATTAAGCTTACATGTCAAAACCATTTGTGCTGTTATGATCCTGAGGAAAAAACGAAAGGTGAGTTTGCATTGAACTCAAGATCGCACGAGCCGCGCGTGACGTCACGTCTACCTGCTGACACGAAACACCTTAACGAGGTATAGCCCAGGTATAAAACTGAACATTGTCCTCAAATACAGCTAAACATTCACATACCTGCTGTCCCGTAGGAATCGGAGAAGAGAGGAAAGGGCACAGGCGATTGAGAGAGCTGCTCTAAACTGGATGTTTGCGGTCAGGTGTCATCTTACAGCTTCAGTGTCACAGAGATTCAGCCAGAAATGCTCTGAATGTGACGGAAAACACTGCGGAAGACTGTGCACCTGTATCATTTAAACTATATCAATTAAATGATCAGCAGAGAGACATATTTATATGTATGACACATGCATTTATTTCCCAGGTGCTTAAGCTTTAGAAAATATTATTTGAGCTGTTTTATTTTCTGTGCATTTTTTTTTTTTTTTTTTTAGAATCTCCCTTTTTTTTTTTTTTT